TTCTTGGTTTCTAATGCATTTCTTTAAGCAAATGCTGTAGATCTCCATTATAATACACGAGGCGACCCGCAGCGTATCATACGCCGCTATTTAGTTGTTTTATTTTCTACTTTTCAGTATTTCATAATTTGTGAATTCGACAGTACCAATGCTGCCACTGAAAATATTTGCTTTAAAACAATCACCCCCCCTCTTTCCCCAAACCCCGACCCTACACCCCTCCCCCCCCTCCCCGTAAAGCAGGGGGGCTGCAAGGAAGCGCTTGCAGCTTGTTTTCTAACGGCTCCCAGAAGAGAATTATATATATAGATTTTGTAACATAATCTGAGGAATGTTGCCTGGAGTTCATTAGAGCAATAAATTAGTTTCAGATAATTGGGTGAAACAAACTTATCAACAGCGTTCAAATGAAATTCTTCATAAATTGTGTGTTCAATTGACACACGTTTCGTTACCGCTATTTACTGACTACTCCGACACACACCTTTGTTTTAACTTTAAGAACATCAAGAGGTGTCTTGTAGTGGGCCAGTCGACAACGTCCATAACATATCTACAGGAACGTCTTGTCATATGCCCATGTAAACATATTTTGATATATTGACATTTCATACACATAAAGTGACTGACAGTGACGTTAGCAAATTAATATATAAATAAATTAATGTCAGAGAAAATGTATCCTCAAACTGGTGGCTACCGGAATGTTGCTTTTAAAATAGAGACGTGTTTATATAGATATGAAATGAGATACCTTGTTTATAACTTACCCCCCCCCCCTAAAATAAAGACGATATCTATATAAAAAAAAGAAACATCTTGATATTTTAGTTTGCACGAAATATGGGAGTGTAATTGTATTGGATTGTACTGGCTGAACAAGGTTTTGTAAGAATATCATTGTATTTTAAAAGCATGGCGCAGGGGTGACCTCCGAAAAAAATAATTCAATTTCAGATTTTAGTAAATATTTTAGAAAAGATAGTATTAGATACACCATTAGAAACTACATCAATTAATGAATTATTCTGTTATTGATTTTAGAGTTAGTCGGGAAATATAATAGTCGATAAACTTAAAATATGGTCGTTTTGGTAATTTTCTGAACTTTGATATTTTTTTTACCACAAAAATGCTGAAGGAATTGAATTTAACTTGTCACTGTCCAGGTTTTACAAAACTAAGAAGATAACTAATCAGCTATAACATATAAACAGCTAATCAGTTATAACATATAAACAACAAACTCCGTGCGTGCAAACATAAACTGAAATAGAATTGTTAGCTCGTGCAAGTACACTTATGTTCGCAGCTACAAACTTGACTACCGACATTAAGTACAAACTTGACTGCAGACATTAAGTACAAACTTGACTGCCGACATTAAGTACAAACTTGACTGCCGACATTAAGTACAAACTTGACTGCCGACATTAAGTACAAACTTGACTGCCGACATAAAGAACAAACTTGACTGCCGACATTAAGTACAAACTTGACTGCCGACATTAAGTACAATTTTGACTGCCGACATAAAGAACAAACTTGACTGCCGACATAAAGAACAAACTTGACTGCCGACATTAAGTACAAACTTGACTGCCGACATTAAGTACAAACTTGACTGCCGACAATAAGTACAAACTTGACTGCCGACATTAAGTACAAACTTGACTGCCGACATTAAGTACAAACTTGACTGCCGACATTAAGTACAAACTTGACTGCCGACATTAAGTACAAACTTGACTGCCGACATTAAGTACAAACTTGACTGCCGACATAAAGAACAAACTTGACTGCCGACATTAAGTACAAACTTGACTGCCGACATTAAGTACAAACTTGACTGCCGACATAAAGAACAAACTTGACTGCCGACATAAAGAACAAACTTGACTGCCGACATTAAGTACAAACTTGACTGCCGACATTAAGTACAAACTTGACTGCCGACATTAAGTACAAACTTGACTGCCGACATAAAGAACAAACTTGACTGCCGACATTAAGTACAAACTTGACTGCCGACATTAAGTACAATTTTGACTGCCGACATAAAGAACAAACTTGACTGCCGACATAAAGAACAAACTTGACTGCCGACATTAAGTACAAACTTGACTGCCGACATTAAGTACAAACTTGACTGCCGACATTAAGTACAAACTTGACTGCCGACATTAAGTACAAACTTGACTGCCGACATTAAGTACAAACTTGACTGCCGACATTAAGTACAAACTTGACTGCCGAAATAAGTACAAACTTGACTGCCGACATTAAGTACAAACTTGACTGCCGACATTAAGTACAAACTTGACTGCCGACATTAAGTACAAACTTGACTGCCGACATTAAGTACAAACTTGACTGCCGACATTAAGTACAAACTTGACTGCCGACATTAAGTCTCATCTAAAAAATTGACTGCCGACATTAAATCTTAGCTACAAACTTGACTGCCGACATTAAGTCTCAGCTAAAAAATTGACTGCCGACATTAAGTCTTAGCTACAAACTTGACTGCCGACATTAAGTCTCAGCTACAAACTTGACGGCCGACATTAAGTACAAACTTGACTGCCGACATAAAGAACAAACTTGACTGCCGACATTAAGTACAAACTTGACTGCCGACATTAAGTACAAACTTGACTGCCGACATTAAGTACAAACTTGACTGCCGACATTAAGTACAAACTTGACTGCCGACATTAAGTACAAACTTGACTGCCGACATTAAATCTCAGCTACAAACTTGACTGCCGACATTAAATCTTAGCTACAAACTTGACTGCCGACATTAAGTCTCAGCTAAAAAATTGACTGCCGACATTAAATCTTAGCTACAAACTTGACTGCCGACATTAAGTCTCAGCTAAAAAATTGACTGCCGACATTAAGTCTTAGCTACAAACTTGACTGCCGACATTAAGTCTCAGCTACAAACTTGACGGCCGACATTAAGTCTCAGTTACATACTTGACTGCCGACATTAAGTCTCAGCTACAAACTTGGCTGCCGACTTTAAGTCTCAGCTACAAACTTGACGGCCGACATTAAGTCTCAGCTACAAACTTGACTGCCGACATTAAGTCTCAGCTACAAACTCGACTGCCGACATTAAGTCTCAGCTACAAACTTGACTGCCGACATTAAGTCTCAGCTACAAACTTGACGGCCGACATTAAGTCTCAGCTACAAACTTGACTGCCGACATTAAGTCTCAGCTACAAACTTGACGGCCGACATTAAGTCTCAGCTACAAACTTGACGGCCGACATTAAGTCTCAGCTACAAACTTGACTGCCGATATTAAGTCTCGGCTACAAACTTGACTGCCGACATTAAGTCTCAGCTACAAACTTGACTGCCGACATTAAGTCTCAGCTACAAACTTGACTGCCGACATTAAGTCTCAGCTACAAACTTTACTCCCGACATTAAGTACAAACTTGACTGCCGACAGTAAGTCTCAGCTACAAACTTGACTGCCGACATTAAGTACAAGCTTGACTGCCGACAGTAAGTCTCAGCTACAAACTTGCCTGTCGACATTAAGTCTCAGCTACAAACTTGACTGCCAACATTAAGTCTCAGCTACAAACTTGACTGCCGACATTAAGTCTCAGCTACAAACTTGACTGCCGACACTAAGTCTCAGCTAAAAAATTGACTGCCGACATTAAATCTTAGCTACAAACTTGACTGCCGACATTAAGTCTTAGTTACAAACTTGACTGCCGACATTAAGTCTCAGCTACAAACTTGACGGCCGACATTAAGTCTCAGCTACAAACTTGACTGCCGACATTAAGTCTCAGCTACAAACTTGACGGCCGACATTAAGTCTCAGCTACAAACTTGACGGCCGACATTAAGTCTCAGCTACAAACTTGACTGCCGATATTAAGTCTCGGCTACAAACTTGACTGCCGACATTAAGTCTCAGCTACAAACTTGACTGCCGACATTAAGTCTCAGCTACAAACTTGACGGCCGACATTAAGTCTCAGCTACAAACTTTACTCCCGACATTAAGTACAAGCTTGACTGCCGACAGTAAGTCTCAGCTACAAACTTGCCTGTCGACATTAAGTCTCAGCTACAAACTTGACTGCCAACATTAAGTCTCAGCTACAAACTTGACTGCCGACATTAAGTCTCAGCTACAAACTTGACTGCCGACACTAAGTCTCAGCTAAAAAATTGACTGCCGACATTAAATCTTAGCTACAAACTTGACTGCCGACATTAAGTCTTAGTTACAAACTTGACTGCCGACATTAAGTCTCAGCTACAAACTTGACTGCCGACACTAAGTCTCAGCTAAAAAATTGACTGCCGACATTAAGTCACAGCTACAAACTTGACTGTCGACATTAAGTCTCAGCTACAAACTTGACTGCCGACATTAAGTCTCAGCTACAAACTTGACTGCCGACATTAAGTCACAGTTACAAACTTGACTGCCGACATTAAGTCTCAGCTACAAACTTGACTGCCGACATTAAGTACAAGCTTGACTGCCGACATTAAGGCTCAGCTACAAACTTCACTGCCGACACTAAGTCATTAAATAGGCCTACAAACTTGACTGCCGACATTTCTCTTCACTACCATCGTGTTTTATTTATCATCAACACAAAACATTAAGTTTATCAAAGATAACAAAGTGAATGAAAGAAACTTAGAAATATTTTAAAACTTTATTGACATCTATACAAACAGTTTTGTAAGCAAATACAGTTTGTAAACAAATACAAACATGAAAAAGTATAAATAAGACAATAATGGCGATGACAAATCTAATGTGGAGGTTTAAACAAAACAAAGATACAAGTGTAGCCTATAAATATTTCATTTCTCAACAATAAACATTTATTTATAATTTTGTTTATGTGTCTAACAACTCTAAACAAATGACGTGAAGGGAGCCGCCATTTTGTTTGTTTACATTAGACAAGGGGAGAGAACCAACAGTTACAGATGCATCACTACAAAACCTCCCCACTATAATTTCCTTCAGAGTTTGATCCACTGTGGTGATGTGACCACAACGACCTGCCACATCCCAGCAAGTAGACAGACGCTCCACTGGAGCCAGGACATGTACATGTTGTGTACGTGTACTTGTCCTTGGCGTACTTGGTGTACCAAGCTTTCCTCACATGTTTGTGTGTCCATTGTCCTACAGAGACCTGTTTAGGACAGCCATGAGGATGTGACACTATAACGGCCAACTTGTCCACATCAAGAAATCCCAAGTATTTGTTCCATACTTTCCCACATAGATCATACAAGTGCCGACACATCTTGTACAGTTCATCAACCAACTCTAAGTCACATGACACACATATAAACCAACACCAGTCTCCCTTAATGTTTGCCCACCTCACCCTCCAGCCATCTAGACTGACCCCAGGACTTTTATTGTCATCAAAACCTACAACACACCTGGTCCGTCTCGCCTCACTCTCATCAAACACCACGTGTGTGGCTGTCATCACAAGAACCTCCCCCCACACTTTGCTGGGTGTGTCCGAGTGTTGACACTTGCCACATGGACAAGTGCCCTTGTTGTCACTCTCTGTGTACTTGACCACACCACACACCCTCCCCGTCCCTGTCCTCAACACGTCACTTCCTCTGTAGTTATAACATGGATACTGACCACTGAAGCATGGAACAGACTTTGGTCTCTTTAGACTGGTGAACTTGACCTTTATCAGGACCGTTAGGGCAGACAAAGCTTTGATTACCTCCAACATGATGACGTCACGGTAACGTGAGGGGAGATGATCCAAGTTAAAATCATTAACAGGTATAAAGTTGACATGACCTGGATTCTTCTTACAGCCGGTATAGTGCTTGTGTAAGTCAGCTTCACCTCCATAGCAGACCTCGGCTTCATGATGTCCTGGAGAGGTACAAGGGGAGGGAATACATATTTTTTAAAAATACAAATTTAAATGTATTTAAAATAAGGTACTTGGCGAACAAAATGTGCAACTATAATAATTAACAGAAACTTCTTATTTCTATTTATTTTATTAGCTGAAGCAGATGAAGTAGAGTTTACATGTATCATGTGGTATATATTGCCTGCCAAATGACCATTTAACTAACTATCTGTTTTAACAGACTCAGTAAGAGAACTCACACATCATAAGTATGTAAATAATGTAATTATGTGCCAGAAACTCTGTATAAATGTAAGCTTACATTTTTCATACATATTTTACACAATTCGAGACTCACCTGGTATAAAACCAGCTTCAGTTTTTTTTTCTTCCAACTGTGTTGTCTCATCTTGTCTTTCTTCCAACTGTGTTGTCTCATCTTGTCTATGTGTTAGACCTAAAACAATTTAACATCAAGGTTTCAATTAGATTAAACACAAACCTATACCAGTAAATAAAACATTTCTCTATTTGTAAAACAACTGGGATGTTCTAAACATTTACAGCAAATACAAAACATGTTGCCTAGAAACATTTAGTTTACCTTTCTCTGCCAACCAAAATTCTCTTTTCTTCCCACCTGTATTTCCCATCTCTGACAACTTTACCTGCAATAAAAAAATTATTGTAAAATATATTTACATTATATGATATTGTTACAAAACTTGTCATCATTTAATTCAACCTCAGGGATGAGGTTCCAGATTATATTGTGGTGATGTGAAGACAGTTTGGTGAGGTGCTGACTAACATAATCTGGTGATGTGAAGACAGTTTGTGTGGTGCTAACATAATCTGGTGATGTGAATACAGTTTGGTGAGGTGCTGACTAACATAATCTGGTCATAGAACTCAACTGGAGTTGAATCAGCTCAACTCTACTTCACTTCATCCACTATTACATTGTATCACAGTTAATTACAATTACACAATTGTTTTACTCTAAATAATGGTTACATCAGATGTTAGCCCACATAAAAAATATTTACATTGATCAATATCAAATTTGAATTCTTTTTAACTGGTCCAAAAAGTAGCTTAGCACATTCTCAAACTTTATGCCTTTTTCATAAAAGCTTTATTATTTTTATGTCAATTTGTTTTTTTTTTCACTTAATTATCAGCTAGATAAACTCAAATAAGAACACAGAAAAAGAAGAAGCTATATGCAATAAAATTATTTTCATAACAATATCAAGTAAATAATCTTAAAACTCTCATTACTTGTGCTTTTCTTCTAAAAATAATGTTTTAGTTTTAGCTAATGTCAACTTTAAAATGTTTAAAATGTGTGGCTTTTAATTGTCTCACATTTTAAATATTTATCTGCCATCTATCAATTGTCTTTCAAGCCAGATTCCACCTCCCCCCCCCCCCTAAAATTGTATCACACATCAACTATGTAATTTTTTAGCTAATGTCAACTTTAAAATGTTTAAAATGTGGCTTTTAATTGTCTCACATTTTAAATATTTATCTGCCATCTATCAATTGTCTTTCAAGCCAGATTCCACCTCCCCCCCCCCCTAAAATTGTATCACACATCAACTATGTAATTTTTTAGCTAATGTCAACTTTAAAATGTTTAAAATGTGTGGCTTTTAATTGTCTCACATTTTAAATATTTATCTGCCATCTATCAATTGTCTTTCAAGCCAGATTCCACCCCCCCCTTAAAATGATATCACACATCAACTATGTAATTTTTTATTATTAAGAGATTTTATACTTATACTAAAATACCTTCAACCTATTGAAGCTTAGTATATATCTTCTATTGCAATTTATAAAAAAAAGTATTTTAAATGTGAAAATGGAAAAAAATTCAGTTTCAAGCACATCTTAATGTGATTCTGAAATTTAAACCTACAAAAGAGACACAAACTTATTGACTAAATTGTAAATACGTTTTCTAAGACGTAATCAAAGTTGACTTAAAAAATATGTAGTCTATTAAAATGCTAGATCAAATTCTATTGAATGAATAAAAAAAATGCAGGCACAAACCTCAAGTAGCTTTTTAATTGGATCCTTTGAGTAACAAAATTATGTCTTTATAGCCCTATTGATGGGTGATTCCACTGTCCATATGTTTCTATCCTTTGAATAACAAAATTATGTCTTTATAGCCGTATTGATGGGTGATTCCACTGTCCATGTGTTTCTATCCTTTGAATAACAAAATTATTTCTTTATAGCCCTATTGATGGGTGATTCCACTGTCCATATGTTTCTATCCTTTGAATAACAAAATTATGTCTTCATAGCCCTATGATGGGTGATTCCACTGTCCAAATGTTTCTCCTTCATACACCTTGATAAAACGACATGCCTACTGTTATATACCTTCATAACTTTAGAATATAGGATTACATCTATTAACAAATCTAGATTAACAGTGTATGCTCTATTCTAAACTCTAATTAATTTCTCTAACTTGGTTTCTTAATTTTATAAAATTTTGCAGGTGTGGTGATTTTGTAGACTGGATAGATAGAGTTAGTCAGATCTAGATTCTATATATTTATCTAGATATAATCTTTATCCATATCTAATTACAACTGGATTAGTAAGTGTTGCAATATAATAAATGAGTTAGATATACAGGCCTATTCATAATACCACAGTTTAGCATCGGTTATTATTTCGGAAAGGTATAGCAGTTAAAAAACAATAAAACAAAGCATAGTCTATAGCAATGTATTGGAAGTACTGTAAACCATACTTGATTTGACGCCATCTTTTATTTTTAATATTGAACATTAAAAAAATTGGATGGATTGATTTTTTTGCATGTTGAATACTGTTTTGCTAATCATTTTGTATTGCTAATCAGTTTTAAGCGTTACTGATAATTATTGCTGTTACTAAATATTGTTCTATTAGCCATTTTTATATTTGCGCAATCATTTTTACTAGATCTAGATCTAATTCAAAATTGATTAGTGCAAATCCTCTGCAAGATTTTTATTTCTGTGTTTAAAAAAAAACATTAAACTAATTACAACACTTGACTTTATTATTTATATTTATAACTAGGGCCTATTTACTTCTGTTTCCGAGTGTTGATTAAACTTAAAGTTCAAACATTAATTTAGTACATGGAGTAGATCTATATTATATTTCAACAGTAAAAATTAATCACGGTTTACACTAGTAACTAATGTTAATGAAACTCAACAAACATTACTGGATAACTTCCATGCTATACTGGGGGATTTCCTGCCTAAGTATTAATGCAGCAAATACTAAATAAATTATAACCTAATAAAAGTTGATCTTCTATAAGACTCTAGATCTATACTCTACAAGATATACAGTGGTACCTCGAGATGTGAGTTTATTTAATTACATAACATTGCTCATGTGTCAAATGTGAGTTTATTTAATTACATAACATTGCTCATGTGTCAAATGTGAGTTTATTTAATTACATAACATTGCTCATGTGTCAAATGTGAGTTTATTTAATTACATAACATTGCTCATGTGTCAAATGTGAGTTTATTTAATTACATAACATTGCTCATGTGTCAAATGTGAGTTTATTTAATTACATAACATTGCTCATGTGTCAAATGTGAGTTTATTTAATTACATAACATTGCTCATGTGTCAAATGTGAGTTTATTTAATTACATAACATTGCTCATATGTCAAATGTGAGTTTCTTTAATTACATAACATTGCTCATATGTCAAATTTGTCATATCTCTAAGCAATTTTCTCCATTAAAATTAATCGAAAGGCCATTCAAAAGTTAGATCTGCCAAAATGACAGCCCAGTTGTTTTTAAAACATATTCTTTGTAAGAAGTGTATTTCTATGTGACAATTATAGTTTACCAATATAATAAAGGATTATGCATAGAAATAAACTGATTTTTATGAAGTTTATTTACTTTGAAAATCAAGTGACTCAAGCTTATGCTAACCTTTCTGTCACATTAATTACTTTACTCGTCACACTTTTAACACTATACTTGAACTTACAACTTCACCTAATATAATTGAACATAGACTCTAGTTCTAGGCCTAAATATTATTAAATAATGTTTTTTTTTCATCACTGCTTTTTTCTTTGCCGTTGTTCTTTTGCTTTTTTTTGGCCACACTTTCCTAACTTTTCCAAGCAGACTGATAAAATAAAACTGTCCATGTATTTTAGCTTTTTTTTCTCAACCTGTTAAACCTGCCAATCCTATTACTTGAATCACAAATTCTGCTCATATGTCAAAGCAAATTATAGTTCGCTCTACAGCTCTTAAGATCTATCTAAAAATCTTGTGTCTGAATACTCTATGTATGTCATGATTCCACTGTAGCCTAAATCTAGATAAAATATAGAAATAGATCTAAAAATCCTAGAATAAGATCGACAAAATGTTAAATGTAAAGTATTGTAAAGTAAATTATCAACCAAAATTTAGAAATAGATACTAGAGTCTAGATCTAGATCTAGTAACTACTAGATCTACTTCTAGATCTAGAATCTACTTCTACTGATCTGGAAAGATTTTCAATCAATCGAGTCTAGATCTAGATTTGTAGAATAAAATCATTAAAATGTTAAATGTAGGGCCTAAAGTAAATGAATCGATCTACCTAGAGTAGATCTAGATTATTAGTAACTACTAGATCTAGATATACTAGACTTACTAGTCTAGATCTAGTACTATCTAAATTAGTGTTAAAATTACTAAAATTAGTAGCTAGCTACGCTATGTACTATGTAGTTAGTATGTAGTTATGTAGTCATGTAGCCCACCTAGCCTAGCTTAGTTAGATCTAGATTCTAGATTTCTAGATCTAGATTAAAAATCTAGATTCTAGAACTAGATCTCTAGTAGCTAGATCTAGGACTAGGGCCTAGATCTAGTTGCTAGGGCCTACCTCCCACAAAAAAATGCCAAATCAAATACATTAGTTAGATCTAGATCTAGATCTAGATCTAGACTTAAAATTTAAAATCTAGGAGGGATTCTAGTCTAGAGACTGTAGATCTAAGAATATAGACCTACAATCTTGATTTAGATCTAGATCTAGATTTAGAATCTACTGATCTAGAAGATCTAGATTTTAGTAGGCCTATAATAGTGCCCTATGGCCTATAGTCCTTTTTTAGGCTATAGGACATTATAAATATATTAAAGGAGAGCGTTTAGTACTTTACTTTGAGCCGAACAGGCGAGTAGTGATCGTCTGCTATCCAAAGAAGTAGTCGATACTTGGTAACTTAAGTAACTATGTCATTAAGGTATCGTACTTGTAAATGCCAAAGAGTAAACATTCAATGGCTGATTTGGAAAATTTTAGTGACGTTAAAAATTACTAAGGCTTTTATAAACATAAACTATCTGGATATAGATCTCGGAATCTAGATCAATTTCCACTAAATATTATATCAAATAGGATCGCAAACTTCAATTATTATAGCCAGATAAGTTTATAAATAATTTAGTAATACATATTTGGCTAATATGGATTCCTAAAATTAAATTTCAGCATCTTTGCCTTTGTACTGTAAAATAATTAATAATTAATAAGCTACTGGTTTTAAGCAGATAAATTAGAAAATATTTGAAAATAAACCCACTAATACATTTTGTATTTACAAAACTTCAAATGGCATCATTCAACGTAAATAAAAAATCCGGAATAATCATTTTTACAGGATTTTCCAATATTAGGGCTTATAAAAATGTTAGTACAAGTTGTGCTCATGTTACTTAAAAAGAATGTCAATGATATGGGGCGGGGCGGTCAATATTTTCCGGGGGGGGGGGGGGACGACGACGACGACGACACTGGTAAAAATGTATGTTTTCTATATAAATTCCAATTCATTTAAGGGGGCGGTAGACTTTTTTCGGGGGTAAGGGGAGGGGAGAGGAAGTCCCCCCCCCCCCCGAAGAGATGTTTGGAACCAACTCTGGTTAAATCAAGTTATCTGTAGTGAAAATATGTATATGAATCATTGAGGAAACAACAGCACAATCAGATAATCAGTATGAATATTTACTTGTGAATTAAGTCCAATATAGAATGTTTCTAAATGCAGATATCTATATTTATTTTTAGTATAGAAATGGTCCAGATTAATTAACACTGGCAAGACTGCATCATTTTATGCAAATGTCGTTACAATTATTGTTTTGGGAAATTTCGATTTAGGAAACAGCAGACTTAATATATTTACATCTCAGAATAATAGATTACTGTTAAGCTTATTTAAAGCCAGATTATTTTTCTGCAATCTGTGAAAATTAAAGTTCCCTTAAAGTTAACAATAATGATGTGTTAAAACGGGATAAAACAATTAGTTTTCAACAAATTGATATTGATGTGGAATAAAGTAAGTAAAAAAAAAATCACAATGATAATTACCCTGTGATGTTCTCAATGTCAACTGTGTTGTGAGCTCTCAGTGTTTTCGGACAGCTTTAGTTCTATCACAGACTATCTATGGGGATGTCAACAGTTTGATATAGTAGAAAAGCTGTACCAAGTACGACCCGCGTGACTAGGAGAGGGATTCTCAAGCTTCAGGTTGTTGGTTTGTTTGTATATAGTTGCCAGTTTTAGTGTTGCACGGCAGGTTAGTTATAGCCAGAGTTTCTTCCAGGCATCTCTTCGGGGGGGGGGGGGGGTGGTGGGACGAAATGAAATTTATATAATTTATATAGAAAATATATACTTTTAACAGTGTCCGCCCCCCTCCCGAAGAAAGTCTACCGCCCCCCCCCCCCCCCCCCCGAAAATTTCAAGTGCCCCCTCGGAGAAAAAAGTCTGGAAGAAACACTGGTTAGAGCACACGTTCAACAACTGACAACACGTGAGTTCTTCTCACCGGATTCGAGGTCGCATCACAAAGTGTTGAGTAACTAGATCTGGTATAGATCTGACAATATTATCATTTACATGACTATGTCAAGAAAACAGAAGTCTTGGAGTTTATCTCCGCTCTAAGCAGTGAAGTCTGAATGGAAACTTCTCTACATTACATTTTCACAAAAATTATGTTTGGGGTTGGGAAATAGGGCGATATCCCCGAGCCACCCTCCTGAAGTGGGTATAAGTAAAGTAAAGTTTCCCTTTCAAACCTGACGGTCTATGGGGGAAAGTGAAGTAGAGTTCACTTGTTTCTGTGACCTCGGCATATGAAGAGATAGTGTGGTCAGCACTATGCCCAGCAGCCTTTAATTTCACTAACGTGAGTTAGGTACCCATCAGAGTTGGGTGGACTCAAGGACGTTTGAACTCGAGACTTACGGCTAAGCAGTCCGGCTCTCTACCGCTATACCATGAAGTGGGTATGCGCAAATAAAAAAACACACGCCATAATGGATTAAAAAAGTGTTCAGGTAACAATTATTAGCAGGTTTCTGTTCTTCTTATTCCGTTAAAACCGACAATCGACAATATAATGCATTTTATTTAGGTGCAATAGCAGTTGACATAATATTATAACGGTTTGTAGAAAAATAAAACGCTGTTATTCACACAATCCTTTGTGCAAGGGTTAGGAAAGAGTTCCCAGTATCTCGAAACTGATCCAGTGTAACTATATATTAACACGGTTTACGGTATAATATGATCCAGTCTAACTATATATTAACACGGTTTACCGTATAATATGATCCAGTAAAATTGTATATTAACACGGTTTACGGTATAATATGATCCAGTGAAGCTGTATATTAACACGGTTTACAGTATAATATGATCCAGTGTAACTGTATATTAACACGGTTTACGGTATAATATGATCCAGTGTAACTGTATATTAACACGGTTTACGGTATAATATGATCCAGTGTAACTGTATGTTAACACGGTTTACGGTATAATATGATCAAGTGTAACTGTATGTTAACACGGTTTACGGTATATGATCCAGTGTAACTGTATGTTAACACGGTTTACGGTATAATATGATCCAGTGTAACTGTATGTTAACACGGTTTACGGTATAATATGATCCAGTGTAACTGTATAATAACACGGTTTACGGTATAATATGATCCAATGTAACTGTTTATTAACACTGTTTACGGTATAATATGATCCAATGTAACTGTATATTAACACTGTTTACGGTATAATATGATCCAGTGTAACTGTATCTTAACACGGTTTACGGTATAATATGATCCAGTGTAACTGTATATTAACACGGTTTACCGTATAATATGATCCAGTAAAATTGTATATTAAAACGGTTTACGGTATAATATGATCCAGTGTAACTATATATTAACACGGTTTACGGTATAATATGATCCAGTGTAACTGTATGTTAACACGGTTTACGGTATAATCCACAACGGTGTGATCCATCGATACTGAAATCCCCCCGCCTTCCCAACAAGATGGCCGTGCCCATTATGCGCCTCCTTTAGGTTATAATTATATGAAAAAATTATTTTTAAAATAATTGACATGATATGCTGATATCTATACAGGAGGTTCACAAAATAGCATCAGATAAAACAGTAACTATAAAAGAAAACCCGATTGCAAATATCCTAACATATAAAAGCCCATGTGTGCACTTCCCTCGCTCTCTCTTTCTCTCTCTCTCTCTTCCGAGGCTATGAGATAAGTATCTTCAGCGATATATGCAGAACTTGATACGGACTTTTGTTGAAAATAATATGTTGGATGTTTTAAATGTATAAACTACATTTTATTTAAAAAAGGAAAATACAAAAAAGGCATATTCGAATGTAGAAATACTTTTTTAGTTGTGCAAACGAAAAAAAAATGTGTATGATTGTGACAAGAACGCAAAAAAAAACAAAAAAAAAAAAAACCAATGACGTTACATGTCATATGTCTAAACTACGAAAAGTACACAAACCTAAAGGCATCAACTTCCAATTTTAGAATATGTAGAAATGAACTATTTCATTCAAATTTAATTTAGATCTAGATCTATAGATCTACTTAAGACGTAATTTATTAAATTTATACAATTTTCTCGACCAAAACAAATACAAATTACTTTAAAAAACAACATAAATACCATTAAACAGCCGGGTTTTTAACGGAGTCCTTTAAGTCCCTTAATCAGTATGTGCGTTTAATAGGGTGTTGTGTTGACTAATATTGTGTATAATTTGGTTTTAGTTTTTCTAATAGGTATTAGTAGCCTATTTTAGCTATTTAGTTTTTCTTCGCATTGTCACTAATATCGTTCTACGTGTAGTAAAGCACATTGCGTTTTGAACAATAACTATTTTATCAAATATTTTTCTCGAACATGTATAATTATAATTCACGTGTAATGGATACCGACGGCTAATATATACATTTTTTAAATTTATCTTTTTTATTTTTTTTTAAATTTATATTCACAATATTAATGTTTTTTTTTTATTTCTCTATAAGCCAAATGCAATTAAAACACCATCTTTCAGGGAAACTGGTTGTTTGACAATGAAAACATAGCGCCTAGGTATCCAAACAAGAGCTTCTTTTCAGGGTTTTTACGAATCACTTCCAAAATTTGACGATCAATATTAGCCTGGTCTTCTTTGCGCTCATTATTGACAGCATAGACCTCTTTGTTTGTATTGAAAATGTCACCCTTTGTATGTTTGGGCTTCTTAGACTACAGCCTTCTAAAATATTTACTCTCTCTGGTACTTTAATAATCTTGATGTTCAACTTTGTCTTTACGGCAATCGCATAAATTTGATTGATTCTTCTCAACGGACAACCTTTTAGATGACATAATCGTGTCACAAGCAGCAAGCTAGACTTGAGTTGTTTAAGGAAAACTACCCTCTTTCCTTGTGTCTTCCAGCAAGAAGAATAAGAACAGTCCCTGGGGTAATTGAGGGTCTCAGATTTCTTTTATGATGACTGAATGGCTTCTGAGCTTTCGTCGCTTGTCTTCAGTTAATAGAATCTTGGCAATCTTCTAACTCGCACTTTTCTCTCCCTCCATTCTTCTCACAACTGATCTTCTTGGTGACATAAGATGGCTTCTTAATTCGTTATTAATTGTGTATTTTTAACACGTTATATTAATTACTATGTTCAATATGTTTTTAGAATGATTATGTTACCAAAAAAGAAACAAAAAGAACCCCTGAAATTGATAAAGTAAAATTAGAAAGTCGCCACTTAATTAACACGCCCCTTTTAATGTATCTACACATAAACAAAGATAACAACTGTAACATCAGAGAGCTATTTCATCGGGAACTTCCCATTATTTTATGAAATCTGAAGTTATCGCTCTTGACGACAACAAAAACGCTTGGATAGCATTGAGCTACTGTACTGATAATGAATAATTGTTGTAGATTACAAACATCAACAAAAGTATATCTATGTAAAAAAAAAGGTAACATTCGTATAGTCATTACGAGAAACTGGCATAGTTTGATAAAAAAGCACAAAGTTACATTATGTCACCATGTCCACGTAATAATCCAAAGATCACATATGCTATATATTATAACAAATGTGTCATATGACATGTAGCTGAAAATTGATAAACCATATATTTTCATATGCGTATAAAACATATATCGTTGTCAAGAAATCTTACCGATTACCGAGTACTATTCGATAAAAAAAAATTCCGTGCCATTGCACACGTCTGAGTTCAAAAAAATGGATAACTATTGCACATTAAATTAAGAATTGGCTGCATGGTCTGATACACGATTAGATAACTGCGATCTTGAAATCAATCCACGAAGCTGTGTCAGTAAGTTTCAAATGGCGTCGGGCCCCTATCTCACACTACTGATGGACCGAATTGAAAGACGTTATTGAACACTAGATTTTATTTCTATTAGAATCTAGATGTCTTTGCATGTTGTTAAATATCAAAATTCATCGATTTCACACCCCATTATACACGTAATATTTTATGATTATGACTGGTTGTATGACAAAATTCAATATCAGAACACACTGTATGAAAAAAGTAGAGTTTATCTGATCAACTAACATCGGCATCCAAATGAGTAATATGGTTAACAGCATTGCTAGACTCACTAAGCAAAGCGTCCCATACTTTTCCACATTGAAGTAAATAAGAAAACAAATATTAAAAATCTGTTTAACAACAAGCTACTAAATGCACTGAAAATAGAAAATAAAACGAATCTGCTTTTTTTCATAATAGCTTTATTCGCTAAAATAATAGAGTAAAAGATCTCATGAGCGACCAACGTTTTTATGAAAGAAGCAAACTAGTTTTATTTTCGTAATGTGAATGACATCTACAACTCCACACCTTTTTTATGTGTTTGTACTGCACAAGACGATGGGATTATTACACGTTCTATTGGTTTGTACTAGCTGATTTTTTTTTAAATACAGTATTCTGAAATTAAATGGTTGACCTTAAAAAACAAAAACATAAGATTTACAGATATGCAGTTTTAGAAAGGACAGATGCAACATTGATATTATAAATATTTCTTAA